TCAGCTTCATTGGTGAAGCAACTCAGTCGGTTGGCCTCCCCAGGAGCCAAAGTAAACCGGCCACCCAGTGTTATTTGATTAAAGGAGCAATCGGTGACACTACCCAAGATACACTGGGTTTGACTGGCATGTTTGGCTTTTGGAGTTAGTGAAAATCTCTCCATGTTGTTCATGCCAAGTGAACTTAACTTTTCTTTTCACCAATATGTAAACCAGTTTAAGAGAGTTTCATATGTTTTATTTGTACGAATGATACTTTTAACCGTATTTAACTTAGAAATAAAGTTTTTCATATGATAATATACTTAAAATCTTCCTATTTTTTGTACAGCTATAAAACAAACATAAGCATTACTATAGGAATGCCGTCCAACCTAGGAATTGTTATTTGTATCGATTCTGTGATGTAAAAATATAAACAATAATTGATTCCAACCTCTTTGCTGGATAACGTAACTAAAGGAAAAACCTTGAACCGCGATTAACATCAAGAAAGGATTATCTTCTCTTGCTAACATGGTAATTTAAAGCCAGAAAAATTTATCAAGACTTCCATTCCCTGTTGGTATTGAAGTATTTTCTGTTCCAACCTTGTTAGTAGGTAAAAGTTCATTGATATACATTACGCCCAGCTTATAATTTGGGAGGTATTCCGACTTTCTGTACAGTGAGGATGCGCTAAATTTTCCATCCACGACGTAATTGATTCGAATGTCGGTCGCCTAGATGGCTCTTGGTCCCAGCACTGAAGCATCAATTTATACCTGTGGGAATCAAGGATAAGATAACAAGTTGTCCGAATGAATGTAGAAACATTTCCTTTTTCTGCTTTAATGATCAATTTGATAAGTTTTCGCGGGATAAAACCAAAAATCCAACTGTCAAAACGGCTATAAATTCAGGGGAATTTGTGATTTACAATGTAAACACAGACGTAACCAATTAAAGATATCTGTGAAGTCATGAGTCAGTCTTTACTCACCAAAACTCGATATAACCAGCGACTTGTTAAAAAAACAAATATTATGACGATTTGAACTGTTGGGTCAAAAATCCGGTGTTTTAATGACATGTGTGGCAATGAGCCTCAATAATACGAGCGCAAGGTGAAATAAAAAATACATTCCTCAGGTCAGTAGAACCTTTTGGAGCATTATTTCCATATATGCAACGCACTTAATCAACTATAGCTTTTAACTCAGCAATTTTCAACTGATTGTCGAAAGTTATCCGGATTGTATTGGTTTTGCTTTACTTTGCCATTTGATTGGTTCAGAAAACTTACGCATCTCTCAACCAATCAAATACAAAACTGAAAGCAATCACGAATTGATCACCCGCGTTTTCCCGCGCTTTGGGCAGTTTGTTCGTTTTTAATTTAAGGTCTGATTGGCTCTTTGAGACATTTTCTTTCTTCTGATCAGCCGTCATAATTATTTATTAATTATTATTAATCCAAAAGGGTTCTGGGCCTCACTTATGAATAGGCCTTTTCATAAGTGAGGCATATTCATAAGTGTGAATCTAGCTGGAACGTGATTCTACGTACAATTCTCGGCTCACGCCTGACGACCTTCGCAATTTATGACCATGCGACACGTATGTAAATACTTCTTGTCCGCTCATTCCATCGTAAGGGTTCCCCCCTGCAAAGATAAAAAATACTGCGTATTTGACCCAGAAAAAAATACTTGTTTGTATGCTTGCGAAGATGTCAGCTCCCAGAAAGCTGAAGAAAAAGATTCTGTAGAAAAGATAGTACTGAGTAATAACAGACTTGCAAATTTTCTTTTCAGTAGAGTGAAAGGTTTGAAATCAGCAGTTGATTGTGTAGTCTACACGTCCGGATTATAGTAGTTCTGAAAAGGATTGTTGTCAGTGACAATGGTTGACTTATCAACATCCTCGAATCTCCGTCACAGAGACCTCTGATGATGACTTTCGCTCGCATTGTTCTTTCCAGGACTACCCACACCCGAATGATCACAATGATACTTTCTGTTTGCAGGTTCGATAGCAGCCCCCCACGATCGCACTTGACATTCCAGTTTAACGGTCTATAATCAGGACACAGGTGATTTTCAGGCCTCCTCGACAAGAAGTGACTTAGTTAAGCTGATATCGTGTTCTCCTCAGGCTTTCTCCGCCATCTCACGGTTTTTACTCCGAAAAAAAAAATATGACGACGTTTGAAATTGGAGTCCAAATAACCCCAAGTCTCCCAAAAAACTGAAAAAATTTCGTTTACCGAGTGTGAATATCTCATGTAGGACGATGCCATAACTCCACCTGAAAAAAAAGGAAAGACAAAAAGAAAAAAAAATTATATGTATATTATATTACCGCTATCTGTCTCAGATTATTATCACTATTTTTGGTTTGCGAAGAGTCTCTTGTAATGTAGACCATCGAAAAATCTATCCCATACAAGGAACTTTTCTCGCTTTTTTACATGATCAGGTTACTGTTCAGCAGGAAACATCGGAGGGGAAACATGAAGATTTGATTTCACGCTAAAGAGACATTGA